CCCCCCTACTCACCTCTGGAACCATGCTTACCATTTTGTTTTGCTTCAGTATGTACTTTGGTGAAAATGGTTCTGCTGCAAATGGCTTGGCAACTTACACCATATATATATGTGCCCGGATTGAAGATATATGGCTATCAATGCCTGCCTGGTCTCCCTTTTCGAGCAGTAACAAGAAAAAGAGGGTTCTGTTCTGGTCTGTGAGAAATACGATATCAATGGTGAGAATCTGTAACTTGGTCACAGCCTATATTAGATGCATGAACTGTACGGCTATACCTTTGGATTGTTGAACTGTAGCCTTGGATTGGATGTGAAGCTCACCCACAACATAAACAGGTCAAGAAGCCTTGTGGAGCTACTTTGAGCTGCTTCAGCTGATGATGTTTTGCCAGTATTCTACGCTTTTCTCCGGTATAGATGTTAAGAGACAGAATCGAAGCTATACAGCAGCTCAGAACGCTGTCGTTAGCGTGAATTTCGAGAGCGTTCGGCCGGGAATTCTCGAGCCGAAGGTGGTGAAACCTATTGGTTCTCTTTAACAATGTCTCTGACTGTTCTTGAGATGCAGAGGAATTCCTGGAGAAGTGGAAACAAGGGATGGAGAAAATTCGCCAGAGACTTGTTCTCATCTTTTGGTAAATTCCGCTTGTCCTAAACGTTTTTAATTGGGATTTTATGGTTTTCTTGGAAAAGAAAAACAAAATGAAAAATGTAGATTTCACAATTGATATATGAATCTAAAGCATGGTAATATTTTTTTTTATAATCATTAATTGGGATTTATGGTTTTTTTTATAATCATTAATTGGGGGCTTGGTCTGACAAATATTTGCGAAATACCCAAATGTCCAAACATTCAGATTTTTCAAATATTCGAAATTAAGTTTTGTATCGAATGTCGAATTTTAAACATTCATATACTTGAATTCAAAATCGGATAATTCCGAAATTTAGGATAACAGACGAGCCCATGGATGGATGGAGCTAGTTTGAGGCAAAATGTCACCAATAAATAAATAAAATAAAAATTCATTTTTCCTACGCCCACCGGCTGGCGTCCTCATCGTGTCATATTTTCTGTTTCCCGAGAAATCAGAGAATTTCTGTGGAATTCTCCGCTGGTTCGGTGGTAATCAAATGGGAAGTTCTTTGATTTTCTCCACGAGAATCTCTCGGTTCCCCATGTCGCCTCTCCCTCTGACCAACCGGAATCCGAGTCCATGTCGGATTCCGGCATTGAGCAGAAATTTCCGACGTGGTTTCTCGAGAATCTCACCTCACTTCTGTTCAAGAGCTGTTCTCTCAGAGGTTTCCGGTCCGAAGCAGTACCCGAGAGTCGGTGCCAAATCCACCGGACCAATTCCGCCGTCGCAGCTCCTACATGTCGTCGAAACCGCCGCTAAAACGGGCGCCGAGGTTTGAATTCCAGAAACTTCCGTCAATTTCGATCACGCATATAAGATCTCTTCGAGTGAAATCCCTGTATCTAGTGTGTTTACTGGATGGATATCGATTGAAAAATGTGAGGTGGTAGTATTAGTATATGAATGTGATTTGGCCAATTGGTATTATCATAGCCTTCTTCATGATCAAAGGCTAAGGATTCATTACAATCGATTTAACATTTCTTAATCTTTCGGTTTATATGAGAGATCTCCTTCTGCAGGTGGTGATGGATGCTGTCAACAAGCCTAGGAATATCACATACAAAGGCCTTACCGACTTGGTAACTGAGTAAGGGGACTTTGCCCTAATTCTATCACTTTTCCAGGTCTAGGGTTTGCGATTTGGATGAACATTTCACCGTTTTCATGAAAAATTCTACTATGGGTATATCGGGTTTTCACCAAGTTATAAGCTTATTCTCTTCTCTTACAAACTGTCTGGATTTGTAGCACTGACAAAGCAAGCGAGGCTGCTATTTTGGAAGTGGTGAAAAAGAATTTCGGGGATCATCTGATTCTCGGGGAAGAAGGCGGCGTCATCGGGGATTCATCTTCCGATTATCTCTGGTGCATTGATCCTTTAGGTAATCTGTCTCTGTAATAAAACCTCGATGATGCTTAGTTCATGTTTTTTTTTCTTCATGTCTGGTTCTTGTTTTCGATAGATATGCAGTTTCGTGAAGTTGAATAATATTTACCCTTCTTGCCTTTCTATTTCATAAATAGATGGAACAACGAATTTCGCTCATGGCTATCCTAGCTTTGCGGTTTCCGTAGGCGTTCTCTTTCGCGGAAACCCAGCTGCTGCTTCTGTGGTAAATTCAGAATTCTTGCAAAAAAAAAAACATAACTATTACTACGTTTTTTTCCCTTTGGTAATGCTCCGAGAGAGAGAGAGAGAGACTCTAAGAACAATTACCCCGTCTCCAGGTGGAGTTTGTCGGTGGTCCAATGTGTTGGAACACACGCACATTTTCCGCCACTGCTGGTATAATCGAACGAGATGTTGTCTTGTTTCTTTGTTTTCGTCTAATTCGGTTTTTCGTAATATTTGTTTAACTAGTTCTTGATCAGGTGGTGGAGCGTTGTGCAATGGGCAGAGGATTCACGTCAGTAAAAACGACGCTGTAAGTGAAAAGAAACGTCTTCCGCCTGTTAGATTTAGTGTACCGGACTTTTAATATCTCTCGGCGGCTAATTTTTCCGCGAATCAAGAACTGTTTTTACTCTTGAAAGAGTCTATTGAACTTTGGTTGTAGATAGAACGAGCTCTTCTTATAACGGGATTCGGGTATGAACACGATGATCCATGGAGTACGAACATGGAATTGTTTAAAGAATTCACCGATGTCAGTCGGGTAAGGCTATATCGGATTCGGGAAATGGCTCGTTCCTTTTTTCCTATCCGCCCGCCTTTTTTTTCCTCGCTAACCAGAGTTACTACTTGTCCTCCGTTAAAAGGGCGTAAGAAGACTCGGGGCTGCGGCAGTCGATATGTGCCATGTAGCCCTCGGGATCGCGGAATCTTACTGGGAATATCGTCTAAAGCCGTGGGACATGGCGGCCGGAGTTCTCGTAATCCTCCTTCATTCCTTCATCTTTCATCGGATCTGCATTCACTTAATATACATAAAATCTGTCTCGAATCGATGCTAGATTGTCGAGGAAGCTGGAGGAGCGGTGACTCGGATGGATGGAGGCGAGTTTTGCGTTTTCGATAGGTCGGTTTTGGTGTCGAACGGCGCTCTTCACTCCAAGGTTCATGAACTGTAACTCTTCTCGGGTGAAAAAAAACCAATTTTGTTTTTAATGTTTTCGGTTCTTGGCTTGACGTTTTTCGGGTTTTTTTCCGACGGATTGCAGCTTCTGGAAAGAATCTCGCCCGCTACCGAGAAATTGAAGAGCAAAGGGATCGATTTCTCGTTGTGGTACAAGCCCGAAAACTATCACACCGATCTTTGAACTCGTTCGGAAATCATTCAAGAAGGTACTCTTCTCTTTATAGAATTAGAAACAACGGGAACTCGAGAAATAGTGTCGGTTTTCGGGTCATGAAAACCGGTGAACAATTGCATAACCGGTATGGTTTATGGAACTGATTCGTCTTTCCAAGCCATTTCTTGAACAGAGGCTTCATGGATCATCAAGCCGGTTTTCCTTTGTCCGGTCCAGACTTCATATAAACCGAACCGGAGTTTGGAATCTTGATCTGACTCCATGGGAGAAACATAGATCTCGAACCGGCCATCCGTTTCGTCCGGTACAACCATTTCCAGACCACTCTTGCCAAAGATCTGGTTAATTGATTTGATCCTCTTCCACGTCGTCTTCCCTTTCTTCCCGATTTTCGCCGACATAAAAACCGGAGCTTGGTCCCATCCCGTCGCATCCGGTTTGAAGGAAACCTTGAAACCGATTTGGTATTTCTTGCCCGGTTTTACATCGACCGTACCGGTTACCTCCAGCCAACAAATCGTCTTCAATTCAGCCGGCTTCCTACACAGCCAAGCACCATCCATTTCTATCGGAATTAGAATCCTGACCGTTGGTATACGGTAAACCGGTCTTGGTTCATCGGTTTAGTAATGAACCGGTTATCCGGTTTGTCAAAAAAAAAAAAGTAAAATAAAATATTGACATATACCCATCTTCTTTGGGGATAATCCAATAGCGAGAGTCGCCTCCCCAAGTGAAGTTTAGTCCTCTTGGCTTTATAATCCTCAAGTTTTAAATATTCGATTTAAATTTGAATTCGAATTTATAATTTGAAATCATTTGTAAATTCGATTTGGGTTTGAAGATCGGGTTCGATCCTTTATACTCGAAGTAGTTGAATATAAATTGAAATATCTTAAAATATTTTAGTAAAGTGACCACCTCCTAATTTTATTTCAGTCCAACAAATTTAATTTCTTTTATAATGTTATTTTATTGAAATTTAGGATATATTATTATGTAGCTAAAAAATGGAATGTTTATATGTTTGTAAAAAAAAAACCTTAGAAGCTCCAAGTTTTTGTTAAATTTGTCGCATATTAATTTAAACTAATTTTAAGATTGTTTAAGTATTTTTTTTAAGGAAAAAATACGATTAAAGAAAGTTTGGTGGTTTATATAATTTTATATTGAAAATAAAACCAATAATTCCTCGTCTATTTGCTTTAAACTTAATATAATGTAATTCCTAGTTTATAATTCGTGTTTTTATTCATAGTTTCTTATTAATTTTGTAAAAAAAAAATCACGTAACGAAGCAAAAACAGCAAGGGAATATTCCACGCGCCTTAATCTCCGATCTGAGCGAAAAAGGCCAAAACGCGTGGGTTGTAGTATGGCGATTTTGTGGCTGTGCTTTCCACGCGCCACAAGTGCGCGTGGTATGGTTTCACCGTAGTATCTTATTTTCTCCCAATAATATAGTTTTTTTTTCTCTCTCTAAAGCATGTAATTTGTGTATGGTGACAAAAAAACATGACAATGATTAAGTGAAAGGTTCACATTTTTTTTCCAATGAAGAATTACTAAATATCATTATATGGTTTATTTTAATTTGTTACTTAATTACATTGGTCGGTTTTTAAGCATCAAACCTATATATTAATCTATACAACCGCTAAAATTTAATAATTGTACAAATAAAATTGAATTCGAAATCAAACTAAAAATAATTTAATTTAATTGAAATTATTCGCTATAGATTTAATTTTAAAAAAAAAGATTCAAAACACCAAAAATTAACACGGAAAAGGAAAAAAAAAAACTTGCTCTCTCTCTCTCTCTCTCTCTCTCTCTCTCTCTCTCTCTCTCTCTCTCTCTCTCTCTCTCTCCATCTCTATCTATTTTTAATATATTATTGTTTTGAATTTTATTTTTGAGATGGGGCAGTAATATTACAGACCTCTTCTGAAAAAAAAAAAAAAAAACTCTCTCTCTCTCTCTCTCTCTCTCTCTCTCTCTCTCTCTCTCTCTCTCTCTCTCTCTCTCTCTCTCTCCATCTCTATCTATTTTTAATATATTATTGTTTTGAATTTTATTTTTGAGATGGGGCAGTAATATTACAGACCTCTTCTTTCAAATGGGCTTTATATAGGAGATGCAAATTTCCACTCTTAAGGAATTTTTCTTTATGAAAAAGAATAAACTGTTATGTGAACTGAATAATATATATAATTTTTTTTTAAAATTAAGTACAATTTGAAAACCGATTAAATATACCTTTTTTTAAAAAAATAATCAGATTAATTGAACTCAAAAAAATCTGAATCCAATATAAAAAAAAAATCTAATGAAAAACCATGAACATTTTTTTAATGAAAACCAAACACTCGTAGTGACGAAAATATATACCAAAATTATCGAAATAAAAATAAAAATAAAATCCGAAAATATTCATCATGTGTAAAATAAATCTTTAGTTTGATTAAAATAACAACTTGTAGATAGGTGCCAAGTACAATTGAAAAAGTAGCTAGAGATGGACATTTATACTAATGATATGTTATAGCTTAAAGGGATGCAAAAGTTAGAACAATTTAATTTGTAATAACTAGACATGAATATAGGCTTTTCATTATATATATACTATTAAGAAGGATTAAAAAGGCGTAAAGCGTCTGTATTGTCCGAATTCGAATCTCAAATTTGGAAAAGGGCATTCACACTACCTTTATCGACCTCTAGAATTAGTCCGACGAGGTTTGAGCTTCTCCCCTCCGGCCAACAATGGGACAAGTTGGGGAAATGTTCTTTCAAATTTTTACTGATCTGCCTCAGTTTTATGTATAAGTTAATCTTGAGTACCCTCCAGCTTCGCAATTGTTTGGTGGAATCCCAAATCCTAGGGGGAGATTGGGTTGTGGAAATCCTTTAGAGATAGGCTGGTAGGCTGGAAAATGTCATGGTCTTTCTTATTTTGTGTTGTTTTTCTTATTTTTCTATAAAATAATTCATAGACTTTTTTATCGAATATTTGTTTCGATAAATCCGAACCAAACCCGAAAAAATCCGAACCGAATCGATTAAGATTATATATCCGATTGGATATAAATATTCTAAATCCGAACAACCCGAACCCGAAATAACCGAATCCGAATAACCCGATCCGATCCGATCGCCCACCCCTACAGGCCGTCCAAAAACAGCACGGCGTCCGCCTTTTCTTGGGCAACAAATACGGCCCATAACTCCAATGCACGCCGTTTCTACAATCCGATTCTAAACAACCTGCCGTTTTCCACTTCAACCGAAGAAATGTTTCTGACAACCTCTCCCTGTTTCATTACAAAAATGTGTAAAATATGCTCAAAAGAATCCATACTCTTTCATATATCTGATTCTCTGAATTCCGTCTTCAGAAAGTGAAGAAAATCTCCATTGATGTCTTCTTCTTCTTCGTAAGCTATAAGAACTTGAGGTGAAGAAATCAGACAGACATTCCACATGTTCTTTTACTTGGTCACAAACCCTTCTCCCAATCATCAACCACGTCTTCTTCTTCCCCGGAGCCGACCCCCTGTAAGTTTCCGGCATCATTTCCAACCATGCTTGTCTCATTAGCAGATACAGAGGCGGTGGACATGGCCTTTTCCGACCCTAACACGCTCCAACGGTTAACTGAAACAGCTGTCCGAGCGTCGGCCTTCACCTGAATATCCGTCGAAGATGCAACGGGCGAATCGTCGTCGGCTCCCCATGAATCGTCGTCGTGAATCACAGCTTTCTTCCATGGATTCCCTCTCCGACCTTCCATGGCCGTTCCCCCATCGGGTTTTCCACCCCACGGGTTACGGGCTTGCGATGTTTGCCCGACGTTCTGAACCACCACCATGACGGCTCCTTGGTACACAGACCCGTGATCCAGCCTTCTCATCGCGGTGGCTGCTCGGGCCGGGTCATGAAAAACGGCTATCGCGTTCTTGTCGTTAAGCCAAACGAGCTCGCATTCACCTCCGAATCTCAGGACCAAGGTGCTGATACTCGCATCCCTCGGCAGATCCATAAACGAAACGACGAGCCTCGGGTCCATATCTACCATTGGATCAAAGGCCGGTGGGTGGAGGGCACTTACAGTGACAGAGCCCTTCCCTCCGATGATTCTCGACGGTGGTTTCGACTTTGGTGTGACGTGAACTACTGTGAACCGTCTTGGCTCCCACCCGGCATTGCTCACCGCAAGTTTCCACCTCCTGGCTATCAACCTGATGGCATCTCGTTTATCTTTCTGCAACGGGCAGAAGACGTGGAGCTTCAGGGCACTTGCATTTGCACTTCCTCTGCTCTTTCCGAGCACCAAGAACTTGCACCGCTCCTCCACAGCCAGTACCCATTTCGGGTCACGCATGTCCGAAATTATCTCCTTCATGGCGTGATTCTCGCCAAAATGCAGAGCATCGAGATTTGGGGGAGTGATATCGAATGCATCTTGCAGAACCCGTTTCCACTCCAGCTTAGCACAGTCATCGTCACATGTAAGTTTTCTCTGTCCAAGAGGGATTCGGTTTCCAGTTGACTCGACGGGTTGAAGTGGCACCGGAAGATTTTTCAAGACGGAGGCTTCATAGAGAGAATCAACACCGAAACCACCCACAGTTCCTCCAGCATCACAAGGAATTGCAGCTGATATACGCCCACAGGAACAAGTAATTGTGACCGGAAATTCACATCTCAAATCCGGGCAAGGATCAGAAGGATGACAGAGCGCTGCACAAGTGTGCAGCCTGCAGTCTCTTCTAGGGGCACCACATGTCTGTCCACAAGAGATGGGAACACATGTTTCGGTTTCAACTCCAACATCACAAGGTTCGGGATGACAAGTTCTGGCGCAAGCATGCATGCCACATCGTCTGGTTTTCCCGCAGAGCTTGGTACATCTAATATCCTTCAACCCACAAGGTATGTTCCTGAGAACCACATGACCGCCGATGCATTTCTTTTCTACGGGCACCGAGCAAGGTGGGCAATCTCCAAAATGACAGGCGTGAGAAGCTGCATGGCCACAAGGCTGAAGAACCGAGCACAGAAGCTGACAGCTAGGGGGAGATGTTCCGCAAGGTAATGGAGGAGGAATCGAAGTTTTTCCACATGCACATGTCAAATCAGTGAAAATCGTCTCGAGGCAAGAAGGGCAGTGGCCACTGTGACATAGAGATTCACACGAATGTTGTCCACACCTTAGCTTCTTACCACAAGGGATTTGACAAAAGTGTGGATCCCAATCCAAATGGGTTGGATCATTCTTCGGATTGGAGAGAAGGCAGCAACGGTCGCTACACCTATGCCTCCCACAGTTCTTCTTACGACCACACGGTTTTTCACAGACAAAGTTCTCTGCCTCTGCAGTTGTTTTGTAGCATTCCACAATCCTAGAAGCGGATCCACATCGACATTTTTGGTTGACCTGGATCAAACAAGGCGGGCAATCACCGGCATGGCACACCTCATTGCAGCTGTGTAGCCCACAAGGAAGAACCTTCCTGCAAATGTAGGAACAGGAAGGAATCGGATCCAGGCAACTCCGTCTCTGCTCTTCCAGAGTCGTTTTCCCGCAGTAGCATGTCTTAATCCTGTTGGGCAGCAAGTCACAGTCCCCACAGGGACCAGGATGGCAAACCTCACGACAGCTATGATTACCACATCCGAGCAATCTTCCACAGGTCGAACTGCATGAGAACAAGCCATATTCTACCTTCACCTCTCCTTTGATGTTCATGTCTCCACATATGACAACATCGGACTTTTTCTTGCAAAAACAATTGGCATTGACAAGTAATTGGCAAGGATCACAGGGACCAACATGGCATGTCCTTTCACATCGATGACGCCCACAACCGAGAAGCTTATTGCAGCACTGCCCGCAAGTCGAAACAGAACTTCGCTCTGAGCACCTCGTTGTAATCATCTTCTTCCCACAAGGACAATGTCGAGGTGGGGCAAAGGCCTTACAAGGAGGGCATGGACCTGGATGACATTGCAACACGCAAACATGAGGACAACGATCCTTTTCACTTGTCTCAGCCCCTGCAAATTCCTTCTCCAGTGGCTTCCCGCATGGTTCTCCACAAGAATGTGGTGTCAAGTATGGATCAGATGGCGGATCTTTCCTCTTTCCGCAAAAGCAACGATAGCATATCTCCTTTGACGATGTTAACTGTACAGATTGGCAACCAGGACACCTCCAATTAAAACCATGGTTTTTCTCCACTGCCAAATCAACAGAAGTCGGTGCTCGCACCCATCTCTTGATACAGTTCAGATGGAAAATAGAGTAACAGCTGGTACAAGACCAGATGTTTGCAGACCGCCTGACCATATCATAACAAATCATACACTCAACAGCCCCCTTCATTAGCTTATCCTGTATTTCTTGCACAAGTTGAGGCAAGTCCGGATCTTTCAACCCCGCCTCTTTGTTCTCGCTTCTCTCAGTAGCAATCTCCTGTCTCGTGTGTCGAGCAAAGTGTCCCCTTGACACACCCCTCTGGCGATTATAAGGCGGATGTCCTTGTCCTGAACCATTATTCCTTCTCTGGCGGTTAGCAGGGGGAGGACCTAATGCACTATTCCCACGCCCACGGGCATGGTTATTGAGTAGAAGACCTGCATCGGTGTGCCGCCTTGGCTGATTAACAGGAAGAGGTGCAGAATTGGCATCGATACTTGCGGAATCCCGATCCAGATTAGAAGAAATCAATGGCTCATTTACCACCACTGAAGTAGAGGCCCCTCTAGGGACCCAAGTCTGCCGATAACCCTGAGGACCAAATCTAGGCCTTTCCCTCCGGTCCCTCCTTACTTGAGAGCTCATTCTCTGTGATTCCAAGCACGCAGAATCAGAGCCCGTTTCCACAGTCACAGTAGGAACAACCCAAACGAATTCACAAAATGATATCTGTAAAGAAGAAGCCCATGACAAAATGTTCAGATTCTAGCTATCAGAATCAAATCAAACGCTTTTTAAGCAAAACCTTGAACAACACCCACAAACCCTTAAAAGTAATCCGGGACTTAATCCAAATATGAAACAAAATTAGTCACAGCCAGGCATCATATGGAGGGCTGAGATCGAAAATCCTAGAACGTTTCCAACAGAAAGGGAAAAATCAAAGACAACCCTAGTTACCGTTTCCAACAAAAGAATCCGAAATCCACAAAAATTCGGCTAATCAGGCATCAAGATTACAGAGAAGAAGGCCGAAATTGATGTTCAAAATCCCGAAGCAAACGACGAATCATCACAAGACAGTACCTGGCTAGGAAACGATCACAGGTGATGACCTCTATCTATCGAGGGGAGAGAGAAAGAACGATAGAGAGAGAAAATGGAGGGGCGAGGGAGAGGCCGCCTCGGCCTTGCAGCCAAATGAAGGCGCAACTTCTCCGTCCTCTGGTTTTTATTTTATTTTTATTTTCTCTAATTTTATGATTTGGCGACAATATTGAGCTCGGTGCTAAATGGGCCATTTATGGGCCTACAATGGGCCTAACTCATTCATGAAACCAAACGGCACGCGTTTTAGTAAGCGTAAAAAGAAACGAGACGGTGTTTCCCTCTCAAACGACACGTCAGCTCATCTGAGCTTTGCTGGAATTTATTTTCATAAAAAGTTATTTATTTTCATTAAATTAATGAAACCTTGTGAGGGATGATGACTTAATTCTTCCGGCAAATATTTCCCAGTCTCCGCCGCCGCCGGTTTCTTCTCTGTCGGAATCTGCAGACTCTTCTTCTGGAATGGAATCTCGCGTTCTGTTTTCGGGTCAATTCACGAACTTGGCGATTTTCCCGCGCCAGACCCGCCAAGCCTCGCTTGCTCCGTTCGCGCCTCTCCGCCGTTCTTGCTCCTTTGTCAGATGTCTCGAATTCGATATAGACCGGTTTTCAATGCGGGTCGGGTTGATTCGACCCATAAACTCCATAAAATCGGCGGCCGGTGACGACATTGCGGTTATTTCAGAGGAGAAGAAGGGTTCGGGGAGTGGAACCAAAAGGAAGAAGCTGGCTGTGTTTGTGTCGGGTGGCGGCTCGAACTTTAAGGCCATTCATGAGGGATGCGTTGATGGTTTGGTTCATGGTGATGTTTCAGCCAATGGTGGTGTTGTAAGAAACGAAATTTTCCAGTGCTTGCATATTGTGTACCAAGATACTAAACATCTGACTATGGGGCAGAGGGTTTATTGAGTGTGAATCTTGACTTGGTCGAGGTCATAAGTCTGCTTCAAGTTCAAAACCAGTTAAGAAGTGAAGCCTTGAGTTTTAAGTTAAAGAAAGAAGTTGTGGTTAAGCTCTGAAGTGAATCTTGTGAGGGATGATGTCTTAAGTTCAGATCAGAACTTAATCAAGAGGTCTCTCTAGCTGTAATTGATGTCTGAATTTTGTACCTTGAGTTGAGGTTTAGAGATTGAATGATATGGGTTGAATTTCATCTATGACAAGGAATGAAATATCTCCATCTTCTCAATCCAGAGCAACTTAATGTACAGAATCTAGTTTGCAGGGGAAAAAGACAAGGTTTATCAGATGCCATAGGGGAAGCTCCTTTAAGATGGGGCTCCGAGGTAAGAAGCAAAGTTGTAGAATGTCACTGAATATTCCACCGGCAGTGACTTGAGCACCTGCTCCTGGGCCACGGACAATACCGAGCGGTTGTGGAAGCTATGACGTTATCTGCACCCGAAAGCCGGGCAAACGGGTGATCTTTCTTGCATCCACCGCTCCTACGTATCTCAAAACCTAATAGACACACATCAGAAGGGAAAGTTCTTGGATTCATGTCTCAAACATGGTCTCTGAGTAGTAGCTGAATTGGTAAAGACAAGAACAGGAACTACTTTCTTGTTCTTGCCATTATTCCTTTGGACAATTCGTTCAGAAGGCTTTGAACATGTACATCAACTAAAACCCCAGCTTGTCAGTTTCCACCAAAAGTTATTTATCATTCCTCGATGATTTTGAATGTAACCATTTTCCACGACATTACCCTATGATACATCTATCAACCAACGGTAAAATCACATCACCAAACTATGAACAATCAACAAAGAAACAATTGACGGATAGCAAACATGTGGCGGATCCCAAAACATGGGTCTTCGGCGATCCATTGCTTACGCGATGAGCTATGTAGCTCTGCCGCCGATATTTTCGGAAACAGACCAGCCCGATAAATGTACGGAACACGAACTGCGAAATCTCCGACAGAAGCAGCCAGGAAGGTGGCAACCTCACTGAGAGAAGCAACCGGCATGATTCTGTAGAATACTTCGATCGATTCAGAAGATTACCGGCGACGAGACCCACCGGAGAGAGAGGAGAAACCGGCGATCGATCGCAGTTCGCCGAGGTCGAGGCAGTGACACTTTCGTAAATATCGAGAATGTAGGAAAGCGTGGAAGTGGAATCCAAGTGAACTCTGAAGCAATTCAAATCACATGGCTGGCTCCCGGTCCCGGGATTAGTCTGGGCCTCGGCCCAGGAAACCCGGTTACCAAAAAAAAAAAAAAAAAAAAGTGAACTCTGAAGCAATTGCGCCGTCGCATTCAAATGGCCTAATGGGATGACACGTGTATGCTTGTTATTGCTTGAAATATTAACTGACGTGGATTAAATATTTAAATTCCAATCTTTTTAATTAGTAATTTCAATTGTAAAATCACCCTCGAAAAAAGGGCGAGTAGCCCAACAAACACGACGCATGATTATTCTATTTAGTGCTTTCAAAGTTAATAGCATTTAACCGTGTTAACATACAATGTAATTACTGCATATTACATATACTTAATATATTATAAATAAGACTATGAGAATTTGTACCAAAAAAAAAATTATATTATAATTAAAAATAAAACAAAAAATGCGACGGACAAAATAGGAGCAGTATTTGATCTAGCTCCTCTGGTCGCTGGAACTGATGTTGCGATATTTGACCCGGGTTCGAACCGCAGTATTATAATATCTTTTTACTTAACCGGGAAATTATAAACCGGCCGGTTCGGATCCGGTTCTGTTGTAGCGGATTTTTTTTCCCAACTTAAACCTCACTTTATCCCTCCTCCCCGACAACTCGCCGCCGCATCTTCCGCCACAACCGCTGGATGTCGAAATCGCCGGCGGAATTTCACAACCGGAGGAGAAGCTCTCTCTCACGGAATCGGATTCCTCCCAGAGACGATCAGACCTCTGTTTCACACAGGAGCTTTCCCGGTAAAGGCTTGCGTCGGGGAACGACGGCAACCAAACCGGAACATGACTCGCTTTCGGCGGCGCGTGAGGGGCACGCGAAGTGACTCCGCTGGGTCTCAGCCGCGGGACAGGCTTCGCGAAAGGGATTTCCGGCGTGGAGACAACAAAATCGGAGAGCTCTCGGAGGTTGTTGGACCGGATCAAGCAATTGGCGTCGGTGGCGGAGCCGCCGGAAAATAGGTTACAGGAGGAGGAGAGGTCTCGGAGGCCGTCGACGACGTCGAAAAGGTTGGATTCGGTACGATTGGCGGCGTTTGAGAGCGACGCGCCTGCTCCGGCGAGGCGTTGCATGTACTTGGTGGCGATTAGGGTTAGTGCCTCTAAGGCGGAGAATTCGGCGGCTCTAAATCCGACTGACCGGCAAATCTGCGAGACGGCAACTCTGGTGAGCGCGAACGAGAACTCCGCCGCGGACGGTGGCGATTCTTCGGCGGCATCGGGATCTTTATCCTGCGCCGCCTTTTCATGGCGGCGGAGACGTTTTTGGAAAAAACCCTAATTTTGCTGGTTTCGAACCCGCCGCATCGTTTGTATAAATCTGGCGTGTAGTTACACAAAAAAGCCACTAAGGACCGATAAATTTATTTTTAAAAAATAATAAAAACAATTTGGGAGATTATCAAATTTTGACACCTATAATTTATTTCTTAATAACCGAAAAACAAAAAACAATTACATGGAGTCGGTTGAAATCATTATAATAATAAAATCTTCATTACAGAATTTGACTAAAGAAATGTAAAATTTATTAAATATAAAATTTATTAGGATAGAGAATATATATATATATATATTATAATAGTAAATCATATATAAATACTTAAAATTTTATAAAAATTTCAAATAAATATTTGAACTATAAAATTTTTATATAAATATCTAATATTTTTTAAAAGTCTATATAAATATCCAAATTTCTGAAAAAAAAAATTAAATAAATTCAAATCGTTATTATTTTTATTTAAAAAATATCTAATTTTTAAATTTATATTGAAATTTTTTTTAAAATCTAAATATTTTTATTAGATTTTTAAAAAATTTAAGTATTTATATGAAAATTATATAATATATATTATTTATGTGAGATTTTTATAAAAGATCAGATATTTATATAAAATCATATATTATTTATATCTAATTTCAGATTTGTCTTTCTCTCATTAACAAAAAATATTTTTTGTTTTCTGATTTTTCAATCTTTTTACTATTTTATATTCTTCGATTAATTATTACTAAATTTAAACATCATGATATTCAATCTCATACTTTTTACGATTTCAGTGGCATATTTTTTTGCTTGTAAATTTTGTGGTTATTTAATTATTATTATTAAATTTTAAAATAATAATATTCAATCTCCTATACTTTTACGATTTCAGTGGCATATTTTTTCCTGCGTGTAAATTTTGTCGTTATTTGGTTGGAATTGGACAAGGTATCATTATTATTAGGCCTATGATACATAAGTGGCCCATTTGTAATGGGCTTGATGTTATGTATCCCATTTGTAATGGGCTTGATGTTTTTCTTTTTCTTTTTCGTTTTAGTTTCCATTAATTAGGTTCAAGATCTAAAAATAATTATTTATAAATCCACTACCAAAAAATAATATCGTTTTTTTTGGTAACCCATCATCGTACAACCCTTTGGATCGGACATCATCCGGCTCTACAGTCCGGACAACATCTAGTAAATCTCGACTCCGTACAATAGTCGACAAACCACGCAAAATAGATAAACCAATCGAAACTGATCGGATAGAGAAACTCAGAATTTCGTATAGGAGAAATTTGTCCTTTTTTTCAATTAAATTGGAGACTTATGATAATATTAAGTTTACCTTGGTCTAATTGGTATATTTTATTATATTATATGTTCTAATTAAAAAAAAGATTTTAACCTTGTCTTCATGTCATGTTTTAATCACAGGTTTTCTACTGTGCTAATTGCTAATTAGTAATTACATATCCTAGGAAATCAAGGATTTTTTTATTTATGAAATTGCATGGATTTATGTACATTTTTTTAATATCCACTTACTATTATATAACAACCCTAACAAATATCACTTTCATATTAATATTAGGGGTATCAATTTGGGTCCGAGGTCCGAAGTCCGACCCGGCTCAGTCCGAAAAGAGTAATAGCCTTGTATGCATATGCTATGCATATAAAAAAAAATTATTATCTTAGATACAATTTATTAAAAAATACAATATCATCATAAATAAATGTATATCTAGAAATTATTTCTATGGCTTTTTTTATTTTGTAAATCTATGGCTATTATTTCTTAAGATATATTATAATAACTTATTGATAGCATATGATAATTACTTTAAATATAATAACTTAGATAATCGTTAAAAAAACCGTCGCCAATTCATTTTTGGTAAAAAAAAAAGTTCTTCGGAAATTATATTTTTTGTAAAATTTTATAATCGCCAAATTAACTAAATTTATTTTCCTACCATATGAAATTAGTTCAAATTAAATGTGCAAAAACATTTAAAAAAATTGTGGACTGGTAGTTCGATGATATATATTCATTCATTCGCTCGTTGACTTTTGTTTGTCATTCATTTATGAAAATAAGAAGCATAGTGGAACAAAATAATACATTGCATGTGTGTTGAGTTGTAAATTTATATGTCACAATGATTTTGTTTATACCATTTTAAAATAAGTTTTGAAGTAAATACAAGAAGATTCCTATTGATATATACAAGACAAATCATAAAACTACCATCATAAATACATAATTAATATAAAATCCAAAATGCATATAAAGAATATAAGAAGACGAGATTTTTAGAATCACACCTAATATAAAAAAAACAATATTAAATAAAGCCATTTTACCAAAAAACAAAATATGAAATAAAACCAACACCTAGGTAGAATAGAAAAATAGAACTTCAGTTCATGCAATGCCAAGTCTCCATTCTCCATCTTAGGCCCCATATTAGGGGTGGGCACAAATACCCAAAAATCAGGTATCTGTCGGATATCCATCTCACGGATATCCGATCTTAGAGTACTCGTAATTTTTAAATCCAAACCCAAATCCCGATTTTTCAATATCTGTAAATCCGAATCTAAATCCGAATAATAGAATTTTTAAAACCGGATACCCAATTATTATGATTATAAATAATTATATCTTATATTTATATAACATTTTTATAAAATATAATTATTTTAGATGAAATAATATCATATTTTTTAATATTAATTCAAAAAAATTAAATTTATTATTATTTATCTCTTATTATCTCTTTTGTCTTATATATTTTATCATAATTTATCAATTTTTATAAATCTATCTTTATTTTTTGAAAATTTTATATATGAATATTATTTTTTTATAAATAAATCCAGATTAAGATACCGCGAATACCCGACCATTATTCCGGATATCCGTACCTCGGATATTCGTAAATATCAAAGCTCGTATATAAATTTTATAGTTAAATATCCGAGTCTTCCAGATCCAAATCTAAATCTCTCGATTTTTCTGATTATTCGACCTGTGTCCACCTACTCCATATGATTACAATCTGCTTCCATATATCTTCTTCTATATATATATATATATGTGGATATAGACGTGAGATGTATAAATATAGCATATATATATATATTATATTTGTCTCATTGAAATCCGCCCTTCAGTTTCCTCGTTGGGTCCACTTTGTTGCAAATCCAATACATGTATACATATATATATATATAAATACTATGTTTGCACCTTCCCCTTGCTTTAAAATATTGCATGAAATTGCATTCCTTTCTTGGGCCCGAGAATAAAAGTTTGAAAATTTGTTTCCCATGTTACTCATCATTTCTAAATTCTATCTAATTGCACACACATATACAATACATACATACATATATATATATATATATTGCATTAAAAAAATAGAATCCCATATGAGACAACTGGATTTGTAGTCAAAATAACCCTAAAGTTCCCGTCTTTCTTCCCTTTCCCCTCTTGATTTCTGGGATTCTGTTCTTGAAGCTTCTATCAATATTTTTTTTTCTGAATTATTTCAAACAATTTTGTATTTCTCTCCATCTGTCAATAGCATATTCCTCTGGGCTCTGAGTTGTCATGACTGCGATGGGGTTGGTGCTCTTTTCGTGATTGTTTCCTCTCTCTTTTTTGTCCCCTTTGCTTTTTCGTAAAGTTTCCTGCAATTTTTTTTCTCCATCGAGCGTGATTGTCGATTTGATCGCCCGCTCATCGTTTTTATCTGCTACTGCGTTTATGGGTTTCGTATCGTTCGATGTCTGTTTCGTAACGATCGGATAACGCCAGATTTGGATTAAACAGAATTACAAAAAGGTACGGATCCCCTCTGCAATTTCTCTCTCTCTCTCTCTCTCTCCCTCTGTTCTTGGTTCGAGTTTTTTGGATTTTCCTTTGGACTTTTTGCGTGCGATTTTCCGGTTTTCGTCGGATGCCCATTTCGTGTTTGGATTTCGCATTCAATACCCATTTCCAAAGTTTGAATTTTCGCATCTGGGTTTTTTGAATTTTTTGCATCTGGGTTTTCTTCTCGTTTAGGGTTCATACTTCATCCCGACATGCATGCGAAAGTTTTTGGGGACCGATTCAATCTCTCTGAATTTGGAAGCTCTGAATATTGGCCTCAAACCTTGTTCTTCTTCGGTTCGTGCAGGTTTTTCAGATTCGGATTATCCGAAATTACAGCGTGATTCCAGTTGAGAATTCGATTATCATTTGAAGATGGTGGATTCGGAGCAGTGATAATCTGTCGTTCTCAGATGGATTCTCCGTCGAGTCGGAAGAATCTGAGGTTATTCAGATACGTTTCCAGGCCCGTAGCTTGCAAATGCCTTCTTCTAGTGTCGATTGCTCTGTTCTACAGAGCTCTGCTGCTTTACTGTTCTTCCGGGAATGGATTGAATCGCTCCTGGAACGACGGCGGATCTTCGATCCGAACCCGTTACATGTCGGATTCCGACGTCGGAATCCGTCGGAATAAGTTTCTCGAGGTTCCTCAGATCGTGTGGGGTTTGAACAATCAGAAGATTGCGTTTGCTAGGGCTTGTTTAACTGCCAGAATGCTGAATAGGTCACTTCTCATGCCGAGCTTGAGCGCTTCCTTGTTCTACAAGGAACTCGATAAGCTGAATCCGATATCGTTCGATAAGGTGTTTCGGTTCGACCGGTTTAACTCGCTCTGCAGCGGGTTTGTTCAGATTGCTCGGTTCTCGGATCCGAGAAACGGGAGCGATGTGTTTGATTTGATGAAAGGTAGCGGGAGGAGATGGACGGTGGGACGAGATTTGGAACAACTGAGGGAAGCGAGCGAGAAACCGATCGATGATTTCGAAGTGATTCGGATCGTGGGGAAGAATCCGTTCTTGTGGCACGATCACTGGCCCGTTAAGGATTACGCTAAGGTGTTCGAATGTATGGAAGTGGTGGACGAGATCGGGAGAGAAGCCGATAAAGTTGTGATGAAGGTTCGACGAGCAGGGGAAGAAGCAATGGCTAAACTCAAACCCGGGCTCGTCCCGAAGTTTTCAGGTAACCCACCGACGATTCCTTACGTAGCGGTTCACATGAGGATAGAGATAGATTGGATGATACATTGTAAGAAGTTAGAACAGCGGAAGAACGTTTCCGAAATCTGCAGCAGTAAAGAACAGATCATGGAACGGGTCGGGAATGTCGTGGGCTCGAAGATTCCCGTCGTGGTTTACCTCGCGGTAGCAGACAGTCTCCTCGAAGATTCCTCGATTCTAACGGGATGGAGAGACGGGTTACTCCCGTACGAGAAGAAAACCCTCGGGGTTGAGAAGATGTACAAGAAGTATCCGTATCTGATCCAATCCGCAATAGACTACGAGGTGTGCTCGAGAGCCGACGTGTTTTTCGGGAACAGTTTCTCGACGTTTTCGAGCCTCGTAACCCTCGGGAGGACGCACAGGGCGATAAGGTCGGGAATCACGGGATTTTGCGGGGAGAACGGCGACGACGACGAGGGTTTCGGGTGGCGGAATTACGCGTATAATCTACGGGGGAAATCGGACGACGTTCCTCGGAGATGGATGACGAACATGTCTGAACCAAGCCTGGAAGCCATTAGCTATGGCTCGAATGACGTGTCTTGTATATCTGTATAGATATATTTATTTTTTAATTTTTTAATTTTTTTAAGGTAAGGTTAATTGCGGATACATATACTGCGAAATATGTTTTTCAATTTTGGATTTCGAATTTAGAATTTAGGGTTTAGAATTCTATATGGATTTTGGAATTTTGATTCATTTGTTTGTCGTACAAAATTGAAATAATATATTAAAGGGATAATTCTATATAAAATTCATAGTTTTTATTTTTCGTAATTTAAACTCTATACTTTTTATCCCAAAAAAAACATTATACTTTTAAAAATTGGCAATTAAATTCTATATTTTTTAAAATTGATAAATAAAATCCTAAATAAAAAAATTATTATTTAATGATGTCATAGTCACTTACCACATCATCTAACTCTCAATATTTAATAATGTTAATTAATAAAAAATAATATTTATAAAAATAAAATTTGAAAATTATACATATACATATATATATAATGAAATGATATATACACATATATAAACATATTTATATATATATATATATAATACAGGTTTTTAAACGAATTATCCTTATATTGAGTTAATTCAATTTTGAAATTGATTGAATTTATTTTTTGAAGTCAAATTAAGTTAATTCAACTTAATTTGAATTTGAATATAAAAAATAGTAAAAAACAATCTAACGAAAATAAAGTGGATTTAAAAATTGATTGAATTTATTTTTTTAAATTAAGTTAAGTTAATGAATTTTAAACCGAATTTGAATATGGAAATAGTAAAAAAAAATCTAACGAAAAAAAAATAGAAGATGCAAGATTTTTTAATAAAATTGAATTGAATATATCATAAAAAAAAAACACAAAGTATAATTTTATATGTATATAAAACAACAAGTCGTAATGTTTTATAGGATTCAACGAGACCTCAAACCCTAATTAATTGGTATTGTAATCATCTATACGATCATTAAAAAAAAATGGTTGAATATGCATGCATGGGCCGAGAGTTATAACCAAAACACTGATAATTAAGGTGTCATTTTATTTTATAAATATTGTAAATTTATATTTTCTATTACAAGCAACAAAAAAAAAACCCACCATTTTTTTTAATTTCTAGACACGACAGTTACATACACACACCCCGTTCTCTATGTATCCGACACATCCAGGCTCGCATCCCGTGTCGCAGTCTTGGTTGAGACGAATGTCCTCTCCGTCGCCGTTACACACGCAAACGCCGTTATCTGGATAACAGCCGGAATCACATCCCGTGTGCTCCGGCGGACATTGGCATCTGCATTTTCCGTCCACGATGGCGCCAAAACAGCCCGGAGGGCATTGTATCGGGCAGTCTTCTTGAAGCTGGCTTTGGTCGCTCTTATCTGTAACTGTTGTCAAGTAAAACATACAAAATGTATATATATCATATATATATATAGATACATACATATCATGAATATATCAAAACCATATATATATATAGATATAGAGATGCAAAACAAGTTGGTTCGACCCGATCCGACTCAATTGTAACCCATTTTTTATGATTAAAAAATTTGTTGTCTCCTTGTTTGGTGGATCTAGAAAAATATATAATTAGAAAAAATATATTTTTATTATGCGTAAGCTTAATTTTATGGAGGTATTTTATGATTTTATTTAAATTTTACAAAATTCACATGAAAAATAAAAAATTTTATTGGTTGATTGGAGGCATGTCTCCCTTTAGGTCTGCCATTGGGTTCATCCCAAATCGGTTCAATTCGTGAATCCGAATAAAAAATAAAAAGTATTTAAAATAATAAAAATATTTTAAAAAATAATAACAAATTTTCAAAACTAATAAAATATATAAAAATAATAATAATAATTTTTTTATAAAGAAATTCTCGTTTGGCTGACTCATTTTTTTCGGACTCGTGTTTTTTTTCAAATTCAGAACTATAAAAACGAATTGACCCGCAAACCGGTTTACGGTTCAAATTCGTTTTTGCACCCTATAGATAGAGAGAAAATAAGTTATAATATACATGAATAATATTAGGTTACTCACGAGAGAGGAACACGAAGAGGGCAACAAGAAACACAATCTTGGATCCCATGTTTTGTATTAACCCTGAGAGATATATTTATAATATCTTTTTTATATATTTATTGCAATTGTGATATTAAACTTCAGTATTTATAGAAAAGGGGTAGAGGTAAACCCTAATTAATCATTTTACTTTGGGAATAAGCTTAGATCACAAACATAAATTATATCATTAAGAAAACATATTGATCTTTTATCTAAAAATTTAGCTATTGGATTTCATCAACGGTTTAAATAACATGCATAGAGATTATATCAATGAACATAAAAATATATTAATTAAAGGAACTTAATTTTCTGAGATTATACATGCTTTTGAATATTAAATTTCTGATATATGTGGACATATTTTGAATGTTTTACATGTGATAAAAATATATTGAATGAACTACTTTTCTGCTATTAAATATTTTGAATATTAAAATTTTCGATGAATATAATATAATGGGTATATGGACATGTTTTGAATGTTTTCCATATGGTCGATGGCGTATAAAAATTTTTTTTATGCAAAAATAATCTATAAGAATTGTTAATTATTTATTACACGACACAAAAATGGGGCCTATTTTATTAACAAAAATCTATTACATTATAATTATATAAATGAGACTATAGCTTTTATGGTATAGAATATAGAAAAACTTATTATTTCTACTCATTTTACATGGAAAGTGATCTTAGTAATTATTAAGAGATTATATTATTAATATCAAAATCTATGCTATAAACACGTAAGAGGGACAAATCTTACTGAGATTTTTTTTTGCCTCTTTTAATTAATCAAATTCAATTCTAAATCAACAGTTTTGTGGTAAAAACATTATTATCATATTACATGTTATTATATTAATATAATAATTTAAAAATACCATTTTTAAGAGTGGTCAAACCCAGTAATTAATACTTATATTTAAATAAATTATCCTTTAAAATTTAAGAATTACAATAAAAAATGGTGATATAGACTATGCAGTTGTAAAAAAAAATATTCAAATTAAATAGACCATTCATTAAACCATAAATATTAAATCTTATTATCGTACTTAAAAAATACCTAAAATGTTAACAACCATTAATCATTAAACCAAACCCTAATATATTTTAAAAATAATTAAAAATGTATTACATTACGTGCTATATATATATATATATAATAAATTTCAAATAGGTCCTATAAAATAATATACTTGCAAAAAGTAATGATGCAGCCTAATATATACATGTATTTCTGAACTTGGAAAACTTCAGTTATATTAATACACATTGATAAAATATTTGCCACTCATGTGTAACACTATATAATAAACATAATCATTTTAATATTTATATAAACATTTTATATTTATTCAAATTGCACCAATAATTATGTATATATAATGAAAACGAAAATCAATGCAAAAGGATTAGAAACCGTAAGAAAAACGTCTGTCGATTCACTTATTTGTGGAAAGAGGGATTACATAAAGGATGATTTTATGATGTGATGAAACACATCTTATTATCCCCCGAAAAAACAAAATTAAAAAAAAAAATTGACTACAAATCCTCCTGCAACTCGGGAAGTGCCAAGTTCATGTTCTTAAACAGACAGAACAGCTTAATGGTGACGCGCAGCCACAGCTTCCCGGGGAACACGGAAGGCCAACAGTTGTCGGAAAGACCGTTGAGCGTACGGCAGCAAGATGCCTTCAGCCCGCCGAAATGGCCGTGGAATATTCCCTTGATCCCTTCCGCGCATCCCTTCACACTCTTGATCGCGCCCAGGCATTCCTTGGGGTGGAAAGCTTGAGGGTTCTCGGCTTCTTGGTCTTGGGATTGAGCCGACGAGACGAAGATCAATCCCAAGAAAAAGACGACCGTGATCATAACCTGAATCCCTCTTGCCATCTTGAAAACGAAAATGAAAACGATATTATATGGTATATGATATGATATATTATATATATATATATATTCTATAGTGTGTTTGTGTATTGTATGATGAAAGATGAACCGTACGAGGTTTATTTATAGTGCCCGGATGCGATCATTAGGGTTTGGATTGATTCTCGAAATTTTAAATCATGATTTTTGCGATTTTTCCTCGCTAATTGTTTGGGGGTTAATCCCCTTTTCTTTGCTCCTTTCCATATATATTAAGCACATATAATTTTGATTAGCCTTGATAATTGATGTTTAACAATTATTTTCCTTTTTTAGGGTTTATAGTGTCGCGGATTTAATTTCAAACTCGTTTCGCCATTTTTTTTAGTGTCGACATTATGTTTTATAAGATATATATATATATATATATATATA